GCACTACCCTCCTGATATCGTTCACTTTCCCTTTCTGCGGCCCGCTTAGGGCAGCTGGATCGAAGATGGCCCCTTTCCCCACAGCCATAGCACCTTGGGCTGTATCCTTTGTTGCGGTCGCGAACTGTAGCTGCTGCAACCTCCCTGACGCGATGGGAACGATGATCCTGCCGCACGGCTTCCACTTCCAATGCATGGGCCAAGGCGCCCTTAAGCGTCTCGTGGTGCTCGAGCCTCACAGCAGCTCTGACTTCCAGGTCGCGGATGCCGTCGATAAATGTCTGCACCAGGTTCCCTTCAATGCGCGCAGGTACAGACCGGTATGCTTTTCGCACCAGCTTCTCCACTCCTAGAGCCCACTGCTGCAGGTTTTCGTTGATGCGCTGCACACGATCTTTAAGCTGCGCACGAAAGACGTGTTCCAGGTGAGCGTCGCCATATCTCGCCTCCAATGCCTCAAGGAGTTGCTCATAAGTCACTTCCTTAACGAGAGCTTCCAACACGGTTAAGGCTTGGTCGCGCAGGCCTAAGGTGAGTGCAGTCATGGCCTGGCTTTTATTCCAGCCGTTTGCCTCCATGACGGCCTCGAACTGGATTTTATAGGCCGACCAGGAAGAAGTCCCGTCGAACGGCGGCACTTTGAATCCACGTAGCGAAGGTGCTGTAGCTACAACGGGAGCTGTAGTTCCATCACCAAGTTTGAGGTCGTTCAGCGTTTTCTTCACGTCAGCCATCACGTTGTCAACCCGATTGTTCACATGGTTGATTCGGGTTTCATGTTCTTCGATTCGGGTTTCAGCTTCCAACAGGCGGTTGTCATGTTGAGCAACCCTATCCTTCACCTCCCTTATCTCTTTCGCAAAGGTAGCGTGAAGGTCCTTCATGAGGAGTATCTGTTCCTCCTGTCGGCGGGCCTGTTCCTCTTGTCCGCTCTGCAGCTGCTCTTTCAACTGACGGGCCTGCTCCTCCTGTCGGAGAGCCTGCTCCTCCTGTCGGCGAGCCTGCTCCTCCTATCGGCGAGCCTGCTCCTTCTGTCGGCGAGCCTGCTCCTGCAGCATCACCATCAGAGCACCTAAGTCAGGTGCTGCAGATGTAGGAGCTACCGACGGGCCTGCAGCCGGTGGCTGGCCCTCCGACGTCTGCGGCGTTGCACCACCAAATCTTCGTTGGTCCGTCTCCTGCTGGCGTTGACTTCGGGTACGGACACACTCCGTTTCCTCCTTAGGTAAAATCGGCATGATTTTATCCCACTTCTGACACCAATTGTTACGAGCTTGAGGTTCGTGACAATAAAAATTGCCGATAAAATTACCTAAATTAACACTTTAATTTACTTTACACAAATTAAAACTTAAAACACTAATAATTAAACACACTAATTCACTTTATACCGCTCCGAAGCTTCGCTTGTCTCGCCAAATCCAATACTGCCCCGATCGCGTATTGCAGCGCCTATATATACAAATTAGCAATGAAGCATCCGGAATATTCAAGTAAATGCGCGCAAAGCGACGAGTGTTCGAGTGTAGATTTTCTAGAAACTTAGTTCTTCGGTTTGAGGCTAGATGGCGCTAGTGCCGTCGACTTGAGCGCGTAACAAGCATAATAATAATTTTAAGCTAGGCTTTACCCATGATTTCCTTCGATTTCCTCTTTTCATGTCTTTCACCTTTTTCTTCCCCCCTGGATCCTAATTTCCCTTCAAAAGGGGAATTTCCCCTCATTATGGAACCCCTGCCTGCTTGGCAGTCGTCGCAGGCGAATGTTTAACGACACTATGGATACGAACGGAAACAAAGAACGTGAGATCCTGACCGAATTCTTGTCATTGTACTGTGATTTACCATGTCTTTGGGATATTGGATCGGAGTTATATAAGGACAGGAACGAAAAAATGCAAGTATAGGAGCTTTTGAAGGACAAGCTTCAAGAAATTGAACCCGAGGCAAACTTCGCTGCAACAAAGAAAAAGATTGAGCATATGCGATCGGCTTTTAAGAGAGATTATCTACTATACTATTTGCTTCAAATAAAGAAGTTTATCTCGACGACATTATAGCAATTTTTAATGTCATTAGTTGCCAATTATATTAAAGTAAGTAAAGTTACAGCCTATATACGTCCCACAGCTGGGCACAGGCCTCCACTCATTTCTGAGAGGGTTTTAGGGCAAGGAATCCTCCGCCACGCTGCCCCAATGCGTGTTGGCGAACTTCACATGTCTTCGATATATATATTTTTTCCTTATTTCTCTGACATGCAGGTTTCCTCACGATGTTTTCCTTCACCGCCGAGCACGTGGTAAATCAGCACTTAAAATTGCAATTAACAATTTCATTGGTGCCGGCGGGGATCGAACCCTGTTTGCTCGCGTACTGTGAAATTTACAGCGGGCGTTAACCCTCTGAGCTACCACGGTTCTTTCAATTATATTAATCTTTACTTAATTTCACAGACAAATAAAGCATTAGTTTACTTCCATTTTTAATGTAGATAATGATTTTAGTAGATAGACTACAAACATAACCTTTAAACGAAAAATAGACAATTTTCTATTCATCATTAACTGTAATTAAATAATCTTTAAGAACTTATAAAAAAAAACAAAAGGGCTGCACGATAACGAAGCCTATCATATATTTTTAAAGAATCAAAACGAACGGGAGCATGAGCCAATGATGTCCATGTTCCTGACGTTTGGTTTTGTAATTTGCTGCTGCCTATCTTTGACAAGAAAGATGAACAATCGAGATGTGGGGTGGACACGCTGTCCATTGAAGTGAGTACCTAATTTAAATATTTTGAAAAATAGCGTAAACAAAATTTTAAGGCAAATTTTATTTTGACATACATTGCTCCTAAAATAGTTAAAGGCGATATATTTTCTCTGATAGAAAGAAGACAAAAGTTAGATTTCGTATAGGTAGTGTTTAATTACAAAACTATTACGAAATTACAAAATTCTAAGATTCTTATAGTTTTCGTATAGTTTCTATTGTCCACTAGATAGATGATTGATGATTTTTTAGTAAATAGAGCGGAAGTCAATGAATATTTTATTTTATAATAAAATTGGGTTACTTAAATCAAAAAAGTAGGTACCTACTTATTGGTTGTGTATTATAAATCATAAATTGGTATTTACCAAGCTTTTTTAAAACAAAAAAAAAGTAAAATTTAAATGTTTCTGGTGGAGTATAAACAATGGAGGGGGGGGGAATCCCCTTTAAAAGTGAGTTTCTCCTCCCTCCTCTCTTACCCCTGCCCTCCCCCACCCCTAATAATGCCCTAAAGTACTAAAGAAATACCATAAACAATGTTATTCTCTTCTTTCCATGACTATTTCAAGAATTTTATCTTGAAAGCATTCACCAGTTCGATGAAGAAGAGTTAGGGCACCTTGTTATCGCCAGTCTCCAGGTCTAAATATTTGATGTAGTAAGTCTTCATAGTCAACACTTGAAGGGGTCCAATAAATTTTCGACTTTTGTCTTAGAAAGTTGTGTAATGCACAACTGGATAGAATAATTGCATCCAGATTTTCTATATATCTCGCCTATATAATAGGTCGCCTAAATACTCTGAAACTTGAGGCAAGAATGCCGAAAGCATTTTCAACAACTCTTCTAGCTCGGCATAGACAATAATTGAATATGCTTTTCTCCATAGTGATGTTCTTATCAGGGAATGGTTTCATTATATTGGTTTCAAGTGCAAATGCACTATATCCTAAAAAAACATATGGTACTGTTAAGTTTGTACCTGGCAGTATAAATTATTCGGGCAACTTAAGGTCATCGTTGATAAGTTTTTGATAGAACCTGGTAGCTTTGAGTATTCCTCCATCTGACATACTTTCATGTGAACCCGTATGAACATAAATAAATTTGTAGTTTGCATTAACAATTACAAACAACACGTCACTCAATGTACCATCACGGTTGTAGAACAATGATACCGTTCCGGATAGTTTTAGGGTTCCGTAGTCAACTAGGAACACTTATAGTTTCGCCATGTCTGTCTGTCCTCGCTTAATCTCTGTGACCGTTAGTACTAGAAAGCTGAAATTACCAATACCGGTACCAATATGTGTATCAACCACGCCGACAAAGTGGTAAAATAAAAATTGGAAAAAATGTTTTATTAGGGTAGCCCCCCTATATGTAAAGTGGGAAGTGATTTTTTTTTTTAATTTCAACCTTAACGTGTGTTATATTGTTGGAAAGGTATTTAAAAATGAATAGGGGTTTACTGAAATCATTTTTGATAATGTCAATAATTTCGGAAATAATCGCTCCAAAGGAAAAAAACAATGTGTCCCCCCCCCCCTCTAACTTTTGAACCATAAGTTTAGAAAATATGAAAAAAATCTGAAAAGTAGAACTTTATAAGGACTCTCTAGGAAAATCATTTTGAACTTGGATGGAAACAACAGTACCCACTACCGGGAGCAGTTGCACGAGCGCAGAGCGCTGCTGGAGCGCGAACATAATTGATACCCACCTTTAAACTCATAAGTGGGAACACTTATTGTGACGGACGGGAAACTACGGAACCCTACACAGCGTGGCCCGCCCCCCCTTGGTCGGTTTTTTCGATTATAATATGTTTGCCATCCATGCAACCTACACAGTTGTGAAATTGCCATTATTCTTGAAAAGATTTCGCAGCCATTTCCCATTCATATTTCGGCGAGGGTAACTGAAACAAATTTTTTTCAGGAATCCAGATCATCAGAACATGTGAAGGGCAGAAAAAAGCTTATCTTGGAGATAAAAAATTTAATAGATACTGCACAAGAATTATTGCAAAGTGATGATAGAAAAGAAAATTAGAAGGAAATAAACTCTTTTGGTTTGTACGTAGAAGAACAACTAGATTACGTTGAAACATTTCAACGCTATGTGGCTGAGAAACTAATTTCTGATGTTCTTTTTCTTGCAAAAACAGGGAACCTTAATTTTGATTCAAAAATCGAAGCAAAAGATCTCGAAATTTCCCTATTTTTCAGATGTCATCACCACCAAAATATACACGACTATCACCATCCCCAAATTACATTCAGTCATCATCATCCCCATATCACATTCAGTCATAAATATCACAACAAAGCCACCCACCACCATCCCCAAATTACATTTAGTCATTACCATCTCCATATCACTTTCACTTTCAGACATTAACATCACCACAACAAAGCCACCCATCACCATCCCCAAATTACATTTAGTCATTACCATCTCCATATCACTTTCACTTTCAGACATTAACATCACCACAACAAAGCCACCCATCACCATCCCCAAATTACATTCAGCCATCATCATCTCCATATCACATTCAGACATTAACATCACCATAACAATGCTACCCATCACCATCCCAAATTACATTCAGCCATCATCATCTCCATATCACATCCAGCCATCACCATCACCACATCCCACCCAACCATCACCATCACACCCTACCATACCATCACATATTATGAATAGAATAATATACGAAGGACCGTCTAGTGCAGGGGTCGGCAACCTGCGGCTCGAGAGCCACATGCGGCTCTTTGGATGTGAAGCTGCGGCTCTTTAGTTCCTTACGCAATTATTATTTATTTTATAAAATAAAATATTTAAAATCGTTCTGAATCGATTAACGCGTAGGTATTAGGCACCATTTCTATCTCTCAGCCACTTGTACTCGCTTTTCACCGCACCCCTCCTCGGTGACACGCGTCGTCACTGTCGTAAGTCCGTCGAAAGCTCGGAAGTTCTTGAATGTATATATTTCTTTTTTTTTTTTTCAAAAATATTTATTTATGCAAGTAATATTATGCTTGGCAAGAAAAAATTTTGTAGCTCTTTAATTACTTTATTGCTAATTTTTAATTGTAATTTTGACTCTTCCGACTCAAAAGGTTGCCGACCCCTGCCGTAGGTGTCGTAAGTGGGGATAGATAGAAGTATATTTTTTTAAACTTTGTCCTAAGAAATTAATATATCACGTTTTTCACCTACAATTTCTGATTCTGAGCTATGATCAAAATTTCAAGTCTATCGGGAAGTGTTCGAAATTTGAATTGCAAGATTCCACCCGGAACGGCAGAAAAACTAGAAATGACATGATAAAAAAGTGGTAAAAATTAACACATTTTCATGGCATGTATTCTGTTCTTTCCAGGTGGTAGAGCTTACAGCCTGTATACGTCCCACAGCTGGGCACAGGCCTCCTCTCATTTCTGAGAAGGTTACGTAGATAAGCATGTTTTTACCCAGTTATTTTATTATGATATATGAGATGTTTAGAGATACTTAGTAATCAACCAAAACATATTAAAACAAAGTCTTGACACTGCTCCTGTCTGTCCATCTCAATAAATCATCAAAGTTCAAAAACTTTATTAAACTAAGTTTGTATATATATTATAAGGAATTTATGGATAATACCCCTGGGTAAGGTGATCGCTACCAAGCTATTTCTAATTTATGTGTTATTAATTGTAACATACATGATTGTAAGGTATTATTTTTAAAAAAAAATTCCCCTGAGTTTCTTGCTGGTTCTCCCCAACACAGTGGTTTTTCCGTACCAGTGGTAAATTAAAAAAAAAAGTGGTTTTCAATAAGTATTATTTATAATCTATATTGAATAAAAAGTTTCTCTTTCTGTACCACTATGAATAGAATACTTTAGAAATTATGATTTACAGTAATAGAGTTCCGTTATATTTTGTTTTTGTAATACAATTAACTTTAAAACATATCTCTTACCGTGTGTTGATAATATTATAAATAATATAAATGAACATACTATCCCTTGGTCATCTTGGCTTTAATCATAATACTTTAATGGTATTTGGAATGTACACTAGCAATCAATCAAACATGTCAAAAATAGAATCCATACGACATTTGTGCACAGACGGCCATTATATTTTGCCGGAACTAGTGAAAAGAATTTCGATCGATCTTAAAGTACCTATAAATGCTGAATATATCTACAACTTAGTTTTATACGCACTATAATTATTCAACAATGTTCTATTTTAACTTATAATACCGGTGAAAACTACTAGAAAATAGCTTTCAGTTTGTTTTTAGGATGTTGTTAGATTCATAATTTAATTGTTAATTTCTCAGGACTCCGTTTAGATGCAGTAAAACTAATAACACTTTTGTAATCTATAGATTATAAGGACCAAATCAACATGCATTTCATTAAAAATCCTTAAAATTCGTGCTGGGCCCATTCTCCAAACAATAAATAGACATGTGTCAATCACGCATGATTCGTTCGTTTGAGCTGGTACACTTAAAAGTGTTGATGGTTCATTCATTTGTTTTTGAATGTACCAGTACAACCAATCACAAACAATTGACGGTACCTTTTTAACCCGCGATTAGTATGAATTGTGAATGAGCCAAAAACCGACCGAATCCCGAATGATCTGAATAAACAGGCCAATAGAATAAACAATGCAGACTGCAGAGTATCAGGAGTATTTACTATTTAAAAATATTTACCTAAATTAAAAATTATTTTACGTTTTATTATATTTATTTGTTAAGTCTATGAGTTAAAAATATAATTTCGTGGAGTTTACTAAATATAAAACTTCGAAAGATTTCATGACAAAAGATTTATATAATATGATAATTTCCAACCACCTTATATAAGTATAAAATAGGTAAAAGTTTAATTTTCTTGCAAATAAATGTTACAATCCCTATTTTTAGACATGTAAAGTAAGATGAAATTGTGTATTGTTAGGAATGAAATTTAAAAATAAACAAATTTATTAAATATTTAAAATAATAAATATTGAATAAAGTTACCAATCAAAGTCAAATCAAATCAATTGAATCACTTAAGGTTTTTGTGTTTATGCCATCTAGCGTCGATTATACTTACCACCTTGACGGTCAATAAGTTTTAGTTCGATAAAATGACTATTACCTATAGCATGTAGTAGATGGCGCTATTATAAATCTCAAATAGAAAATTTCCGGTTCCCAATGGATCTCACAGACTCACAGAGTACTGGAGCCTGAAATGATCCATTTGAATGATCGATCGGAATATACGATCGATCATTCAAATGGATACGCGTGACAAAATGTACTAGAATGATTCGGTCAATAGAAATGGATGATTGACACATGTCTAAAGGAAAAATTATTTGCGTTTCACTGTATTAACAAAACTTTTTTGTTAACTTATGACAGTAGTTTTCACTTGATTATTTTGGGTGAGCCTTTTTTACTTTATTAGAATATCTCGATTTAGGTCTTACATGGAATGGCATTGGTGGTGTGACTATACGCATTGGTTTTTCTGTTAAACTATCGAATATCTCTAGAACTGGATCGTTGTAGCATCGCACTTCTATCAGTTCAGTTGTAATTATTTCATTAACGATGCCGGCTGCTTTCATTATATCATTGACATTTGGGGCCCAAAAATGGTATTTACCGTAAACATGAGCATAGTTTACTACGAAGTTACCAACTAAACTCGCAACGTAATTGATTTTGATAAGCAGGATTGTTTTGGATCCCTTTAATCCGTCGTTACTCGTTGCCCTGACTGAATATTTACAAAACCATCCTTTGAAACGCCAAATAATTGAGATGCGTTTTGTAAATAATCGTTTCTCCATCGATTATGGTACGATACTGCTCGTCCGCTAAAGTTATAATCCATATCAAAGAAAATTTCATCTTCGGGCAAACCTTCTTCGGCCCAAAATGAAGATATTGTGTTTTCTATTGTTTCGAATATCGAAACTTTTGATTAAATAGCGTTTGCTGTGTTGTTTATATGTTCATCTGTTTTTATGATAGTATTTACATTTATTACATCAACTACTTCTGCATTTCTTACTTGTAAGCTTCTTTCGATTTCCTTCCATTTGGATTTTTGGTATAAATTACTATAGGACGTGGGATCTTTCATAAATATATTGTCGGGTACCTTACTAAGTTCTATTTTCAAACATCTTAAATTATCGTCTGTAATATTAAACAACTTCACTTCCATATCGGTTATTATTTTTCTATCCATACCATAGTAGTGTACAAAAACATCTTCCTAGTTTGAGGCCGTGTTTACAAAGATCTGTACTTTAGTATTACACAAAACAAACTGATAAGCTATTATAACAACGCAAACACGAAACATTTTTGTTCAGAATACTGTTTTAATAAAAATAAATTTATTGTCAATAGCTAGGTACTCATTATTGATTTGTAGTAGACTGTCGTTATTATAGGATAGTATGTATAAATCTATACATATAAATAACATTTGTGTGTATGTAAAATCTAAACTAGCTGCTGTTAAGCTCACGGGGTTTTTTGTGTGTTTTTGAAACATGAATAACTTTTGAAACATTTTGTCTGTCTGTATGTTTGTTCGGGCTAATCCGTGGTGTAACTAAACCGGTTGTGATGAAATTTCACGAACGGATAGAGAGCAACGCCATCTAGGCTATATTTTATCCGAAAACTATGCAAGATTTATTTTGTGTAATCGTAAAACATAAAATGAATGGGTTTTGATGATTATCTCAAACATTTTAAGAAATATGAAAATAGTTTCGAACAAAACTTTTATGGTTTACAATTTTACTCAAATCAAGACCCTACCCTTTTCGGGAGGTAGAGCCATGCTGCAATTATATTAGTAATATAGTTGTAACACAAATCAGTCGACTCGACCGCGGAGGGAGCATGTTCTCACAGAACGCCAGCGTAATAAAGCGTAATAAATATAGTATCTTAATGCTGCTGGGTTTCCTATGGTGAGTGTAGAAAACCGGAGACCCTTTTTATCCCGCATCTGCATCTTGATTCGTAATCGAGGATAGATGTGCTTTGTAGCATTCCTTGTGGAAGGCCTATGTTCAGTAATGTACTTGTGAACTGGACTATAATGATGATGATGATGATGATGACGAAGGTATACATATAACCGCTTGTGCAAAAGTCGTAAAACATGTGATCCAGTTACCACCAGGTGAACTGTGTGTTCGTTTGTCACCCTATCCTATAAAAAAACCCTTTTTGAAAGTTCTTAAAGTTTCAGTATCAATTTTTTTACTTCAACGTCATTTTGTAACATAACTATGAAAGTTTAAGGTTACATTGATAAAATATTTTTACGTAGAATTAACAGATATGTTATTATATATATATATATATATATATATATATATACGCCGTGTAGTGGCGGTTAAGAATATCCACTACCCCATATCTTCCCGTGGGTGTCGTAAAAGGCGACAGAGGGAGACAGGCAGGAGATGGGCAGCAGCATCTTCCTGATAACAGCAACTGTACGATAAAAAAAAACTGCGGTTGCCAACCCGCTCGCCAAG